GGGAAGGCAGCTAGTCATCACACCCACCGCCAACTCTTGGGCTACTCTTTTACCAACGAATAGTGGGATTGGCTGTAACATTATAACGCCCCCACGGCTGAAAGGGGACTGTTTGGTGGGACGGGGATTCGAGCCCGCCATCTGCTTTATGGGGAACTTAGTTTGAGTACAAAAGAAAATAAGAATAACAGACCACTTTTCACTGTAATAATTATGAAAGATAGTTTTTCGTTGCCTTCTGCTGATTACTGACATTTTTGTGTTATAAAGATGAGGCCATGGCGTTTGTCTTATTTAAGGGTAATTACCCTAACGTGACCCCTCCCCCTACAGTGGAATTATGTTAAAGAGATAATTTGATATTCACATGGATACTCAGTAACCTGGTGTGAGTTACGTGTACTATTTCTGACATTTAACAAAATAATTAAAAAATATGTAATTTGTATTATTGTTTAACACATAGGGTATACTCGTTACTGTTAACGTCAGTTTTATCATTTTTTACCCTGTAAACTTAACGTCAGCTAAATCCTCATATATCCATTATAGTTAATATTAGTTTAGTTGTTGTTCACCCCTTAAAATTAGTGCTAACTTAACTCTTATATATCCCCTAGTTGAAGTTAGTTTCATCGTTGCTTAGCCCTAAAAAGTAACGCTAGTTTAACCCTGATATATCCGTTAGTTAACGTTAATTTCATTGTTATTTACCCCCTTACAATTAACACTAATTTAACCCTTAAAGCTAACGTTACTTTAACCGTTATATGTCCGTTAATTAACATTAGTTTGATCGTTATTTACCCTCAAAGTTAAAGTTTCTTCACACTTTGTTCAAAGGTAGTGTTATTAGTTTTATTTGTAGTTAAGCACAAAGCTACACAGTGGGCTATCTGTGCTCTGCCCACCACGAGTATCGAAACCCGGTTTCTAGCAGTGTAAGTCCGCAGACATACCACTGTGACACTTGGTGGCATGTTATTAGTAATTCCTTATATGTATAAATATAGTAAGATACAGAAACATGAACGGGCTTTGCTTTGATTATCGTTACGTACGACAAAATAACACTTATTCACATATACTTTCAACTATCTGTACATATTTTCGTGAAAGTGTTTGTGAGAAACAAAATGTTTAAGTGTTGTCGCACGCAAGTATTTCATTTTCTAATAACTTGTGTTACCCACTGCACAAATATTGAAAAAAAAAAAAAAGACAAGAAAGTTTTTCCGGACAACAAAGAGCCGCTACTTCAAAGCGAAGGTCTTGTTAGAAGAGCGTGAACAGTCCCTTGAGTATCTTTCATTCATATACAGAGTAACAGAAATAAATAATAGGGTGTTTTGTGGAAATGTTCTTGCGGCAGATTAAATGTTTACCCTTGCTCCGTTTTCAGAGAAATACATAACATATTAACCCGAAAAAACAAAATTGTTCATTTATTTTTGTTTACAGTTTTTAGAAAAGGCAACCTGAAAATTGTTTCATGAGTTCCCAAGTAAAATACAAAAAGAAAAATTGCAGTTGTAAAATGAATTAGACACGAAGTAAGCGGCGAGTCTTGGCCATCAAGTACTAAATGAGGTTCTATACCATGTACAAAACAACAGCACTTTATATCTTTCCTCGTTACCTCATAAAACTTTCCTTTTAAAAGCTTTCCTAAATATAGACAGTAGAATGTTTTTAGTTGATTAACATTTGCGTTTAAGCGGTGAAAATGGAACAGATTTATAATTTTTCTTTCTTCAAAAGAATTATTGATGATAGATGCTCAATTTAAACCAAGCAATAGGACGTTCTGAGTATTTAAACAATTTACAACAGAGGTTGTTTGCATCGCGTTGTGGCTCCTATTCAGATGTAAAGTGGACACTACTGGCAACGAAAGCGTTTTGAAATTTTAGGAGTTAAAAAATTAAATTCGTTTTTATGTTAATACTAAAGACGACGTAATTTCAAACAAGTTTTGAGTTGATGTTTTTAAATTAACAAATTTCAAGTAAAGTAAAAACAATTTCATTTTACTTAATAGAAAATATGTTTAGTGAATTATTTTATCCTGTTTATACTTTTTTATCATAGATTATTTTAGACCCCCAGTGGCACAAATGTATGTCTACGGTTTGTTTGTTTGTTTGTTTTGAAGTTATGCACAAACTACACAATGGGCTATCTGTGCTCTGCCCACCACGGGTATCGAAACCCGGTTTCTAGCATTGTAAGATATTTCTGGTGAAACAAACTTATTTATTCGATAGAAACTCCTAACATTTGCAGGAATTGATTAGAACAAGCAATAAGCATAAGGCAAAACACACCATTTTAGAAATTCCAAGACCTCTAATATGTAAAATTGTAGGATTTTAAGGTGGGTGGAAGCTGTGTCTGTTACACCATCTTACTAGGACGAGGCGTGAGGTGGCAGATATGTCTGTTACGCCATCTTACTAGGACGAGGCGATAGGTGGAAGCTGTGCCTGTTACACCATCTTACTAGGACGAGGCGAGAGGTGGCAGCTGTGTATGTTATGTCATATTACTAAGACGAGAGGTGGAAACTGTGTCTTTTATGTCATCTTACTAGGACGAGACGAGAGATGGAAGCTGTGTCTGTTATGTCATCTTACTAAGACGAGAGGTGGAAGCTGTGTCTTTTATGTCATCTTACTAGGACGAAACGAGAGATGGAAGCTGTGTCTGTTATGTCATCTTACTAGGACGAAACGAGAGATGGAAGCTGTGTTTGTTATGTCATCTTACTAGGACGAAACGAGAGATGGAAGCTGTGTCTGTTATGTCATCTTACTAGGACGAAACGAGAGGTGGAAGCTTTGTCTGTTATGTCATCTTACTAGGACGAGACGAGAGGTGTAACCTATATCTGTTATGTCATCTTACTAGGACGAGACGAGAGGTGGAAGCTGTGTCTGTTAGCCATCTTACTAGGACTAGATGAGAGGTGGAAGCTGTGTCTGTTACGCCATCTTACTAGGACGAGGCGTGAGGTGCCAGCTGTGTCTGTTACGTCTTACTAGGACGAGGCGAGAGGTGGAAGCTGTGTCTGTTATGTCATCTTACAAGGGCGAGGCGAGAGGTGGAAGCTGTGTCTGTTATGCTATCTTACTAGGACAAGACGAGAGGTGGAAGCTGTGTCTTTATGTCATCTTACTAGGACGAGATGAGTTTGAGTTTGGTGTCTTCTTTGTCCACTAGAAACATTGTTTAGCAATGTCAGCAAAATCCTTAATAGGGCAAAGCCACAGTGTTCAACTGTTCTTAGAAATATATGTTGTCTCGCCACCTGTAAGCAGATTTGAATATTCACGCCGTGTTTCATAAAGTCTTTTGAGCACATTTTAACACGTCAGCACTGCAGTGCTGTAAGCTAAACAGTATACTGTATTCCTTTAGTTGGTGAAACCTCTTTTTTTTTATATGGTTTGGTTTGTTTAAAATTTCGCGCAAAACTACACGAGGGGTATCTGCGCTAGCCGTCCCTAATTTAATAGTGAAAGACTAGAGGGAATGCTGTTAGTCACCATCATCCACCGCTAACTCGTGGGCTACTCTTTTTACCAACGAATATTGCTTTTCCTTGGATTTAATTGTAATGTTACCTATGTTTTGACATAGAAGTTGACTTTTTGTGAATTTCTCGTGTGACAATTCATCTAAAATATTCTTTTATGATAGGCCAAAAAAATTACCAAATATTCTTGAAATTTCACTTTACAGGTATGAAAAGCAATATCTTGAGTTCCACAAACCCTCGAGGCAACATGTTTTTAAGACTAAGTACAGCTTACCGATACTCTCCTTTTTGTTTAATGGGTCACGGGCTTTTTGTGTCAATTGCTTGATTTATATATATATAGTCGAGAATCTAATTCTTTCTACTACAGAAGTGCTTCTGGGTGAGTTTTTGACGTTTTCATATCATTTTAAAGTGTGCTGACAAAATTTCGAATTCTTTTTTCCACTTTAGGGCAATAAAAAGTTAGCTGTTTGGAAAGTCCATGTTTGAATTATCTAAAAAATAAATGAACACTCCGCCTCTGCTTTACCATTTGGCTGCCAGTAACAGACTTGTTCACGTTTATTTTGTCTTTACAATGAATTTTACATATCTAACAAATAGGGCGACAATGCCTTTTTATTTTGTGGTTTACGCCTAGGCCTAAATATGGCGATAATACTTTTATTTTTTTTTTGCTAACGTCATGTTCGTATATAGCAATGAAATTTTATTTGTAGAAATGTCAACAAAAGTATTAATATACGAGCTCTTACTCATCATTAAAATGTTAAATTACAAAATTGTCGGAGAGGGAATTTTTTTCTGACATAAATAGGCTTAGTCTTCGAATTGTGTAAGTTGTATGATGCACGTAATCTGTAAACTTCAGTTTAATACGACTCCAATTAGATTTATACAATTATTAAGCACAAAGCTGCACAATGAGGTATTTGTTCTTTGTCTACCACGGGTATCAAACTTGATAAGCTCTCAGACTTACCGTTGAGCCTCCAGGGGAGGGGGGAGAAACGAAAAAAGATTTAAAATAAGAATGGATCGAAATCTCACTTACATTGTACAATGGTGTCTTATTCCATAATACTAAAAGCCACGTATGGCCTGATTATTATGTGCTAGACTCGTTTCCTGTTACCAAACATGCTTGCCCTTTCAGCCGCGAGACGTTGTATAATGTGACGATCAATCCCACTTTTCATTGGTAAAAAGTAGCCTAAGAGATAGCGGTGGCTGATGCTTAGTAGCTGCCTTCTCTGTAGCCAATTACTTCAAAATTACGAACTGCTGGCGCTGATAACCCTTGACTAGATTTGCACGAAATTTAACAAAAATAATCAAAATATTGACGTTAATAGTTTTCATTAAAAGAAAAAAGATTCAGATAATTCTAAAATTTTTATAGATATATTTTTACATAAAATATCATTTGGATAAATATTATCCTTTTGTGTAAATTGGTAATTAAGAAAAGAGTTTTACAGTGCAAACATGATTCATAATAATACTTTTATTTTTTTCAATAGGTGCCATTATGTTGATACGATGTTAATAAGTTCTCCCAAGATTTTGGTTTGTTTGGAAGTTCGCACAAAGATACACGAGGGCTATTTGCGTTAGTCGTCCATAATTTAGCAGTGAAAGACTAGATGGCAGCTAGTGGTGGGCAGAGCACAGATAGCCCATTGTGTAGCTTTGTGCTTAGTTCCAAACAAACAAAAAAAAACTGTGAATGTTGTTCATTTCAATTACAACAATAACGTTTCCATATTGGAGCACCGTTTGAAAGCGTAATTGTTAGTGACTTGATGGAATATTTTATAGACTATCCTGAAGTATTTGTAATAAAAAATGTAGAAACTGGAACAGTGCCGCAGAAGCTAGGTAACCATGGAATCTGGTCATGAACGTAACGTGTTTGAAAAAGTGTGTTATGGCATAAGAATTAACAAAATCACAGCAACCGTATTTAATCTTTATCAGAAGAAATAGTAGATCAGCACAAATACATAATGTTAGATTTGCAAGACAAGTAGCAGATGAAAGACATGATGCAAAAAAAGAAAGAAAAAAAAAGGCAAGAACTATATATAGGTAACAGAATCAGAAAACATTAACCAACGAGTTAACTCAGTATCCCTCATCTTTGTTCGAAAACTAACGTTGCCATTAAAATCTTCTTCTTCTAACATTGCCTAATGAATAGTGTTGAGTTCAACCAACCTAAAAAATTCTGATATACCTTTGAAGTATGCCAAGACATTATACACGAACTTGATGTGACGTTATATCTAATCTGAAGAGAAAAAAGAAGACCCATCTTTAATGTTATTTTAAAACTGGAAAAGCCCACATGCTGCAATAAAAAGTATAATGTGGAAAACCTATGTGGTACATTAGAAATAATTCTATGAGAAGATCCACGTAGTACAATAAAAAGTACCACATGGGAGGACCTACATGGTACAATGAAAAGTACCACGTGGGAGGACCTACATGGTACAATGAAAAGTACCACGTGGGAGGACCTACATGGTACAATAAAAGTACCACGTGAGAGGACCTACATGGTACAATGAAAAGTACCACGTGGGAGGACCTACATGGTACAATAAAAAGTACCACGTGAGAGGACCTACATGGTACAATGAAAAGTACCACGTGGGAGGACCTACATGGTACAATGAAAAGTACCACGTGGGAGGACCTACATGGTACAATAAAAAGTACCACGTGGGAGGACCTACATAGTACAATAAAAAGTACCACGCGGGAGGACCTACATGATACAATGAAAAGTACCACGTGGAAGGACCTACATGGTACAATGAAAAGTACCACGTGGGTGAACCTACATGATACAATAAAAAGTACCACGTGGGAGGACCTACATGATACAATGAAAAGTACCACGTGGGAGGACCTACATGGTACAATGAAAAGTACCACGTGGGAGGATCTACATGGTACAATGAAAAGGATCATATGGGAAGACTCATATTTTGCGATAAAAAGTACCACATAGGAAGACTCATATTTTGCGATAAAAATGGGAAGTCTTATATTTATACGTTTTGATAATGTGGGAAGACCTACATGCTGCGATGAGATGATTTTGTTTGATGTAATGTTTATTTTGTTTGGTTTTGACTTTTTTTTATTAGATATTACGTTTACACATTGAAGTTTTGGGCTGGTAAACATAAAACTTTGCCCAGATAAAATAATCTTGTTTGTTTGTTTGTTATTAAGCACTAAGCTACACAAAAGGCTATCTGTGCTATGCCCACCACGGGTATCGAAACCCGGTTTCTAGCGTTGTAAGTCCCTAGACACGCCCCCCATTGGCACAACGGCATGTCTGCGGACTTGGGTTGCGAGACCAGAGTTGCTGTAACTCACTTGTTCTTAGCTTGGCTTGCGAGACCAGAGTTGCTGTAACTCGAAGAATTGAGATGAGAATATTAAGATCAGGATGATACCTGTGTAAGTTTTCACACAGATGTATTAAAGGAATAAAGCAAACATTTAATAGTACACATTAAATATTTAAAATGATACTGGCCCCTGTCTCAAAATAGAATAGATATAGTTTTACTTAATAACTTTACTATATTAGGATAAAATACTGAGACTGGGAACAGATTCGTTCACTACATGTTTCAACATCTTATTGCATCATCATTCAGAAGAAATGAGTAGTTTTATTAAGTGCTGTGTACCTTGCAAGGAGCTTTACATTTAAGAATAACCAAGAGATTTATTAATGGAAGTCATTAGTAGCAATAATTCGTTTTGTAGCTGATGTACTGAGCGAAGACATCATTATGAAGTGGTACAAAGAAGCTCATTCTTCCAAAGGGAAAACTGTCTTTTTAGAACAAATGAAGAAAATTGTAGAGTGGTTTCAAGATGCTGAAGAAGGTGAGTAAGTGTGGTATTGTTAATACTAAGGTTGCGCCTGACGTTATTTGATATCAGTTTTTTAATCTTTTTAAACATTTGTTCTCTGAAAGTACGGTCTTTCTGATAAGTAGATGTTGTTACTTAGAAATCTTGTATGTCTTTGATGTGGACGAAATATGATGTTTGATTATATTTAGGACATTTGGGCTTTTTAAATGTAGAAAATAATTTAGCTATATAGTTGTTTTTTGTGCCACATTAAAATAACTAAATTTTTTAAGCTGTTTTATTAAACTATTCAAATTCACTAATGAAATACAGGAAAGTTTGGAATATTGTACTTACAATAGGCCTAAATATTTATGGTAAATATCACACTGGATTGCAGTTGTTGTTTTTTCTCACATTTCTCATAATTAGTCCATTGGAGATTTCAAATCACGGATAGATCTGAAGTGTTATGTTTACACAGCTATGATTTGAAGTCCACAATAGACTAATTAAGAAGAATGTAGGAAAAAACGTCTAATGTCTAGCATATTTTGATAGCAAATATTTGGTCTTTTTGTTCCATTATTTCAACTTTTGGCTTAGTTGAAATAAATGACACTCGCTGTTGTTTGTTTTGTATTTATAATTAATTTTATTAATGTGTATTTTAGGTCAAGTTGTTGGGTACTATTGTTAAGTTTAATGCCCACACAGAATAGAGCAGTTAGTGAGGGAGGTGGAAGGAAAAGTAATAGAAATAAGTGGAAATGTTACAATGTTTTTGAAATATAAAAAAAAATTACTAATGATGCTCCCCTTCACCAGTTGCTTATCGGTAAATCCTAAGGCTTATGATGACAAAAACTGGGTTTTAATACAGTGTGCCGAACACAGATAGCCAATTGTTTAGCTTTGTGCTTAACAACAAAAGACTGATGATGAACATTTAACAAAATTCCTTTTTATGTATATTGCTTTCTTGTATTTTATAATAAATAACACGCGTGTTTCATATTTTGCATGAGATAGGGGTGGCCAAATTAAGTTTTTTTTTCCTGTCATTGACACAGTAGGTACTTGAAATTCTTGAAGTAAACTCAGACTGCAGTTTTAAAAGACAGGACTTATTAATTTCTGATCCAAACAAGCTATCTTCATGGATCATAACTGAATATTGCTTATTTAGTATAATTTAATGTACTTAATTTAATTTAAACTCTCAGAATATGCTTGTAAAGTAGAATGTAAAGAGTTTGAACAGGTAGTGGGGTTCAATATTTAGGTATGGATACTAGTAGTGATGGCAATTATGGAAAGAGATGAACGCGAAGGATAGGAATGGTAAGAACAGATTTATCAATCTCGAAGAATTGCTCACGAGAGACTACAAAAATGTTATGTATAATCAGTCTCATACCTACTCAGCAGAGTGGAAATGTGGATACTCTCTGCCAAAACAAAATGACAGGTGGAAGCATTTGAAGTGTAGGGTTATCAAAATCAATGAAAAAGATCAATTACAGAGAGAGAGAGGAAACTACTGAGGAAGTAGGAAAAAAAAACAACTGGTGGTCATACGTAGAAAATGTAAGATGTGTTATTTTTGTGTATAATTAAATCTAAGGGAAGATTTGCAAAGATTCTGATGGGAAAAATCAAGGGAAGAAGAGTTGTAGGCAAGCAGAGACTTGGGGTCAGTGGCATTAGCAAATGGATATGAGAAACGTGAATTAGGAAATTTGATGCAGGCAGTGAGAATTGAGAATAATGGAGAACCATAGTTGTTGACCCCCCAGAGAACACCATGATTGATTGGATATATCATTTCTAGTGATCAGAGTGCACTGATTGATTAGTTTACAGTGTTTTTGGTTATAATTCCAATAATATCTCGCAAGGTTTGGCCAGCATAGGAGATTTAGGTTAGTCCTAAATCTATGCTCCAAGCTAATAGTGCAAAATAATCCTCATAATAAAAATATAATGAGAAATGAAAAATAGAAATAAATAAATATATATATTATTTAACATTCTAACCAATTCTCCTAATGAGAGTAACATTAAAGAATAATATAACCATGAATGTTATAAAATTTTAATGACTTCAAACTATTAAAACAGCACTTAGTACAGAGTAGATTGATATTCATCGACTTCATTTGGGTTTTTTTTAAGGATTTTTGTGCATTTACTTAAATATACATTTTTTTTAATTTAGCAACTTAAGATTTTATATAAAAAAAATTGCTAAAAATAATTTAAATCACACTTAAATCATAGTTGACCTACTAGTGATATGTAGTTTAGATAGTTTATGTTTGTCAGTTGTCTACTTCATTTCCATTTTCAAGTGTTAGTGAATTAGATTTTTAGCTCCTGTATTAAAAATGATTGAAGGCAGTCACAGTAGCATCCAAGTATATTAATTAGCTTCATTGCATTAAAATGCTTACAATACTTTTATTTAATTATTTTATACAAGTGAAAAGTTTGTAGTGTAAATCTATTGTTTGATAAATGTAAAGTTTTTTTATTTGCAGGATTAGATTTGTTTTTTTAAGTATAAGTAAATATTTTGCTGTGAAGTTGGTGATAAGGTAAGTTGTTTGAGGTTTCAAAATATATATGAAACAAAGATTTTGCTATTAATTAATAATACCATGATTTGGGTGTTAGTTTATAGTCTGTAATAACACAAGCAATTTTCTGTTAAATTTAGATTTATTTCAATACTTAAAATACTTTGTGTTAAAATAAATGAATCCTGTAGTTTTGCTGATATCTTAAATATAACAGATACATGATATAAAGCATATGTATGTTGATACGTGTGAATGGTAAAAATTTTTTTTATTTTTTAAAAGTAACAGCTTACTGAAAAATCTAATCAACTAGTCAAACTAATTATTATTGTATAAACATTTGTTTTAGGTGGTGACTCATGATTTAGGGATTTAAAATATAGCAAAATTTCTGAACATTATTTGGGGTTTATTAATATGGCAGATTGTTGATCTGTTTATGAGATGGGATCATAATTTTTCTGGCTGATTTGGACTGTAGCGATGTTTTAGCGAAATAGTGATTCCAATTTGTTTGTTTGGTTTTATATCCACGGGAAACTGTCTTGTTGTCAGCCTCTTGGTAGATGAGCACATTTGGTTGAAGGCTGTAGCTCTTATTGATAATATACAAAAAAAGAAATACCAGATTTATTAGAAGAAAAAAGTTTTTTTCAGTCTTAAATATTTTCAGTACTATATATATAATTGAAACAAAAATTTCTATTCATTCCTTTGCAAAAATTAGTTGGTTTGCATGCATGTCACCAGTTCTACGTAGACGTACACAGAATCTTATTTGTCATAAGGTGTCTTTCGTCGTAAGAAGTTAACAAAGAATATTTTTTATTATAAAGCTATGTAAAAATGGTAAATATGATTTGTATAAATGTAAAATTGAAATGAGACGTTCGAACGACGTTAAATACTTGGGAGTAAAAGAAAAATTGTTCAAGTTTGTTTCGTTCCTTCAGTAAATGGTAAGTTTTTATGAAATACTTTTTGTTTACTGATATCATTTCTCCTAACTACAGAGTCTGAAGAGGAAGATTAATGGAGTGGTTGGGCTATGTTATCTTGGCATTTTTTTGCTTCAGACCCCACCTAAAACCTGTACACCAGTTGGGTGCTCAGACCACCAACTAACAGAAAACAATGGCTGATATTACAAAGAAAGGAGCAGAATACCTGGAATTTTATGTTAGAACTTTTGAAACTGTCTGAATGTCTAAAGTAGTTTTATGGTTTTATTACCGTTTCAAAATGGAATTTGTATTAATATATTATTTTTGTAAGGTGGCTCTGAATGCACTACTGTTCATTGGTAATAGGTTTACTTACATTTTTGTCCATCATGTGCAAGAACTTCTGGAGCAACAAATAATGAAAGAAATCATAGATGAGAAATAATTAAAGTATGTGAAAATGAAACGCTACAAACTGTGTGGTTTATTTGAATTTTTCAGTTATTGAAAGTATACACTAATCATGGTTGTCTTATTAGTAAGGGTTTTAGTTTTACTGACTATTTCTGTATAAAGTCCTCAGACAAAGTGGTAAGCCTTTTAAAACAGGTTTTTATTGCAAAAGTGCCTTTTTTATTCTTTGAGAGCCTAAACAAATTTTTTTTTTCATATTGAAAAAATGCTATTGGTTTTCGTTAACAAAACAGGCCATGTTTGTAAGTTGCAAAGAATGGGCAGACACACTCTGAGATGCTTAAAAACTACACAGATCACGTATACTTTATGATTTTTCGCCTTCTTTATGTACAGGTAACTTCCCAATAAAACAAACATCTTGAATATACAGTCTAATAGAATGAACACATAAGTTGTTTAATTTCTGTTTTACACACGTAAATTCAACTTTAAGAGATGTCTTCTTTGATACTATGAATACCAATAATAAAACGTGGCAGTGCGGAAGACAGGACTACCAGATTGGCTTGTAAGATGACATGTTGCTGAAATAACCGGTTGTAGTGTGACAGTAGTTCCAATTTTTACGTTTCATGCCAATGAGAATTTGTAACTTTTGAACCTGTTAAAATGGTTTTTGAAGTAAAGAGTTACTTTTCTCGAGGACAGTTTATGTCTTCCTAAGGCTAACATCTGAAAGAAACGATATGCTTTTGGCTGCAGGAAGACCAAACACAGCATTGTTTAGACATTGAAACTGTATAAAAGTATAATAGTTCCACGCTGAACACAGCTGGCTGCAGTTTAATCATGCATGACCTTAGTGAAAGATGACAGAAAAACACGACTCTGTCTCTTCTGTTTTGTTGAAGGTTATTTGTTGGCTCTCACACTGGCTGTGAAACGCTGTCATGGTGAATTGTTGAAGTTGCAGGTGATATAAAAGAAAGAAGAAAACGTTCTTGCACTTCAGATAGCTCATAAAGCTGAATCATTTAAAATTTTAATACCATTTTGTGTACAACAGATTAGGTTTAAAAGTTCGAGATTTATAAACAACTTGGAAGTTTTTTTCATAAAAAAACGGATGTACAAAGTATCGGGATGGAAAACAGGAATGCAATATTTCAAAACACAGTTTTAATAACTAACTTTAGAAAAAAAAAAAGCCTAAAGCTTGTTTGTGAAGTTCTGACAACAAATTTGACCTAAAAATCTTATGCGTATTAATATAAGCAAAACGTATAATAATTAATTAACTAAAAAGTCTTTTATGGAACTCCTTTCTTTGGCGTAGACTTAAACTTCAAACAGTTTTTTTATGCGATTTTATTTATGATCAGGTTTAGTATAAACTTTACTCCTGTAACTGCGAGTTTGTTCTTAAGCTTTCACGAAAAACTGGTTGAAAAAAAAATGTTCTGTTGATTTTAAATTACTCCATTATAGACGATATATTGATGACATCATTTCTCCTCAACAAAAAAAGTGGTGGGTCAGCGGTACGTTTACGAACTCACGATTCTAAAGTCCGAGATTCGATTCCCCGCTGTGAAAAGAGCGCAGATAGTCGACTGTGAAACCTTGCGCTAAAACAACAAAAATCACGAAATGTTAATTTAATAAAAGTTTTTAGTGTTTAGAAGATTGTAATCGGTTAATTTTTGTTAGTTGGAGGATGTCACAATAAGAAATATCTGAAATTAATGCATGTATCAGTTGCTTTATTGATAGTAATATCGGTGAAATGTTGAACAAACTGTCCATCAGTAAAGTTTTAAGGTGTGATGGGCATAAGATACCAGTACTACTGTTATCATATTTTCGAAAGGAGTTAATTTCTATTCTGGGAAGAGTTGATCCACAAATACAAACTAGTTGTTTGTTTTAGGAATAAGAAATTTAGTGAAAGAAGCTTGATTATTTTAATTTTAATATTTGTAGTGAAGAAATATGATTTCAAAGCTAAGAACAAGCGAGTTACAGCAACTCTGGTCTCGCAAGCCAAGCTAAGAACAAGCGAGTTACAGCAACTCTGGTCTCGCAAGCCAAGCTAAGAACAAGCGAGTTACAGCAACTCTGGTCTCGCAAGCCAAGCTAAGAACAAGCGAGTTACAGCAACTCTGGTCTCGCAAGCCAAGCTAAGAACAAGCCAAGTAGTTATAATTCTTAAATTATTGTAAATACAGAAGCATTTCCTTTCAGAATCAACAGCACTTACTGTAGCAAATTTTTGTTTCTTTTTTTGTTTCTAGTATTATTTATGGTAATGTTAAATGTATCTTTCCATGACTGGATAAAAGTATTTGTCTTTAATAATAAAATAATGGTCTTAAAATGAGTTTGAATTACCTGTTTAAATTATTTTCGTTAGATCTGATTCTGCTATTATTTTTCTGTATCCTGGAATTGACTTGTTTTTGTTGATTTGTACTTATTGTATCAATAAGTCAATTATTTTTGACTAATAAATTAAAAAGTGTTGATTTTTAACTGTTGAAAACACCTTTTTTTGCGTTAAGGTGTGGAAGACCCTAATGGCTGCAGTTGAATGGAACAAGAAAGAGGAGCTGGTAGCCGAACAAGCTTTTAAACACTTGAAGAAGTACAGTGCCCTACTGGCAGCTTTCACCCAAAGTGGCAAGTCAGAGCTAGCCCTGCTTATCAAAATTCAGGAATTCTGCTACGACAACATGAACTTCATGAAAGTTTTCCGGAAAATTGTGTTCCTCCTTTATAAAAGTAAATTTGAGGACTTTTATTGTTAAGAGTACTTTTGGAGTGTGCATAATTTTAATATTGTCACTTATGATTAAACAACCATGAACACGTCCAATTAACGCAATTTCTTAGTTAGAATGTGTGGTTTTTTGATACACTGCTCCTAGTACTTCTAGACATGTTACTTTTTATTGAGAGAAATATTTTCAGTACATTCTAAAATCCTGGAATTAGGTTTTTACTAGTTATACCAAGTGAATTTAATATTTCCTTTCTAAACATATTTTTAAAGCTACGTGGAATTCATTAAAACCCGAACAACTTTGTTTGCTAAAGTTTCTACTTTTGAAATTTCCCTGATAGAAATGGCTTAAAAAATCTCATACATTGGTTCATTAGATAAATCTTAACATGAAACTTACATTTATTTTGATATAAAAGAATACAGCAGATTACAAATTTTATTTTATCAATAATACTTTTTCTAATGCATTATAAATAATAATAATTGAAAAAGCCAAAACAACACACTTTGAAAACGGTACATGTTGCCTTGAATAAATGAACTCAAGAATCAATACCTTGAAATTAGGAAATTATATTAATATCCAGTAGTTAAAGAATAATTACTTGGGAAGAATTGAGTTGTTTTTATCGAATTTATTTAGAGTAACATTTTTTGTACTAAGAGAAGAATGATGGATCCTGAAATGCAAGGTTTAAAAGTAGAAGTCTCTAACAGAGACCAACCATGTGAGCTCTTTGTATTCATTTAAAGTCTTTATAGATTTAATACTTCTAACTATCAATACAGTGTGTATATCTTCACAAAGTTTGGCAGTCTTTCAGTTAATATTACAAGTTTTTCACATACAAAAAATCATATTTCTTAGTGAAGTATTTTAAATAAACTAAAATAAAGTTTTGTCATGAATATATTGAGTATTTGTTTTGAATAGTCCGTGTGAAAAGTAATTTTCTGTTAAGATTAAATCTACTTTTCTTCATCTCAAAAATCTCAAATTTCATTTCTGTGATATCTAAAACCTCCTACATGAAAACAAACATTTGAAATGAGTCCATTAAACTGACTCCATGCACACTTGGTTAACTTCCTCTTCCTTAATCTCATTAAAAAATATTTATCGTGAAAAATATTCAATCAAAGTATTTCCAGTAATTAATATACATAAAAAATTTACCTCTAAAACTGTAACATCCTTTACATGCTTCAGCTTCTTTAGTGCTTCTATTTTACTGTATTTGTTTCCTAATCCTGGGTTCAATTTGGCAACTGCTTTCTCTCGTGATTCCCTGTCTAGCTTACGTTGTCTTTGCTTAAGTTTCTTTTGACGCCTGTCTCTTTTTCTATCCGTGTTGGTTTTTTCTGTGTTACTCTTCACTTCTCCTTTTGGTCTTGCCTGTAGATAATGTAAATGAAAGAGACCTCATACATGAAGCATACTCTTCCATTAAATAAACAATATTAACCTAATCCATATATTCAATCTATTATAAGTAAAAGTGTATCCTTTCCTGGTTTCTATGAACTGATGTTCAAATTTAACAAGCTTTAGGATGTAGCACATTTTAGCATGACATTAAGTTATTGTAGTAGAATAAACATTACACATTATTCTTACTGGAAACATCAGTAAATATATGAAGTTTAAATTATCATCAATTTCAAGAGCTATTGTAATATACACGTTATTTTACTGTGCTATAATCACTCTACTATTTCAAAATGGGTGAACTCATTTATTTTCTATATGAAACACACAGATGACCTCAGCAAGAACTAACTGCAATATTAATGGTATTTTTGTTTATATATTTGTGTGTGACTTGTAAGTTATAAGGAACCATATACCTAACAAGGTCAAGGACCAACAAATAAGTTGGTACATACATCATTACTGATATAATGATAATTTTACAGTTAAATGTTTTTATACAAACAGGAAAAAAAATCCTACCAATTCATGGTTTGGCAACAGTAAAATTTACTTAAATTGTGAAATAAATAAAGAGCTAAATATTGGCTAACCAAAATCATTTTATATATATTTTATTTTCACATGGATAAACCAAGAACTTTAGATAATACATTTATGTGTATTTTTGAAATTCAATGCAATTGTTTAGGGTCAATATCTATAACAATTACTATTTATCAAGTTTACATTATGTTACTCACAGTTTATAAAATTTACTACTTAAAATTGTACGAAAATTAGACAATTGCCATTTTGTAAAACTGTATTATGTGACTTGAAATATAGAACTCTAAAAGCAGTAGAATCAACATTAGAGAAGCTCATGACTTAACTAAATAAAATAAACATTCTTGTAAGTATAAAAATTATCAATAGCTTGAACATTTCCAGGATTTTTTAATCTGAGTTTAACATATTACATGTGGATCTATAGTGTACTTTTTTGTGCTAGAAATCATTGTGATATTTTTTATGGTGATCATTATTTTTAAGTTTCTTGTACTTCCTGTCTAAAAGACCAAAGAAAACAGAACAATTACATTTTTTTGGGGGAGAAGCAACAAATACTTTGACAGGAAGATGATAACAAGCTCTTAAAATACATTAAATAGATACTCTTCAAATGAAGGTTAAGGTATTTTTCAATTAATTTTGGCTGAATATTTCACTTTTGGCTAACCATTTTTAAAGTTCACAAAAGCAAAAGAACATTCCATAAATTCTCATATTATCCATGTTATTTTAACTTTACTTTATAATATATCTTTAAACAGGTATATTTTCTGAACAACAAATGGAAATTATTCTTTTTTCACAGTTACAAAAAAAAAAAATCTCAGGCTCGTATACTTGTTAATTTGTTAAATTTACTAATTCAATCTAAAACATTCTATAAAATTCTACATTCACACAATTACTTGTTAGGATATAAAAAGTTATTGATGTTTTAACAATTATTCATATGATTTTTACCTTTACTTCCTCTGGAGCAAGAAGCGTTAGGTCACTAACCGCTGTTGGAGCTACTTCTTCAACAGTGACAGCAGGTAGATTACTGATGATCTTCAATTCTGGTCCACGCTAGAAATCATGCATAGCAACAAATTTTACAAATATTCTAAAAGCTAGGATGTTGCTTGAGATTATAGCAACTGGATATTTCAATGAGCTTTTCTTAATTTGTTAAGAATATAAAAAAATAAAAATTTTCAATTTAATGCATGGCTTGAAAGCAAAATCAGTAAACAACTATAACAACAACAATAGTAATAATACAAACATAATAAAATGGGATAATACAAAATGCTTAACTAAAACAAAACCAATTCATAAAGACAACCAATCTCTCTTCACTTCACATAAGAAACATTATAGTTATAATATATAGTTTTTGAATTTGAATAAGACACAAAAAAATGAGAAAATTTTATACATTTTATACAGGAATAAATCTGAAGTCAATCCTTCCTCATTAAAATTGCAAATTTCAGCCTGAGAGATATTTACAACTTTAAGAAGTTTAATTAAAAATATTCAAATTAATAAAATATGCCTAACTCCTCTTAATGTACAACTGAAATATAAAAGGTTATTTCCAAAAATATTTTTTTTCTCTTTAGTAAGTAAGAATAATGTTTCTTCCATGTAACTGAGACAAGTGACTCAACTTTATGTTGTTTCAAAATGATTTTCTTTCAGTATCTTTTCTGGTATTTACAAATTAAAATTAAAGCTGAAACTGTGTCACTAGCTAAATAATATTATCATTGCTTACTGGCTTTGGTGTATAGTGAAAGTTAGACAAAGCATCGAGTTTTGCAAATAAAGAAGTCATCATCTTGCGGATTGCCTGATGTTCTGGTGGCTCTTCTTCTTCTTCTTTTTCTCTCTGAGAAAAAAAAAAATCTATATTAGTTGGTAAAATAAGTTAAAATCTTTTGAAGGAAAAATCCACTTTTGATGATCTGATCACATTCTTGGTAGGACAAGTAAAGGTTCCCTATATTCCTGTGAGGCTAAATATTGATTGCCTTGATTACTAAGGTCAAACACATAGTTATAAGACATACATTTAATAATATACTGTACAGCAACATGTAAAGAAGAATATTTTTACGTCATTTTTCATTTTCTACTTCATTATTTAACTAAGTTTTAATAGTTACTTTTATATATGTGACATACAACTATTTTTAATAGTCATTTCATTTCAGATATTTGTCATAGCAATGCAAAGGTTATCTGCATTACTCATCCCTAATTCTGAACTGACAGACTAAACAGAAGTCGGCCAGTCAATGGCACTGACTATCAATTCTTGGGCCATTTTAACCCTCTCTGCCTGGGCATCATTTACTGCACATCATGAGGTTTTACTGACTTACCTTCAAAATTTTATTAAACTACTTTTTGTTTATGTTATACCAATTAGCATAACATAAAATGATAGCTAATGATCCACATTTTAATAGTATACAAGTTTTAAGTTCTTAATCTTATAAGGCAATAGTTAAAAAAATCCTGAATTTTGCCTAGTGTAAGAAATGTGACACATTTTCTTTAGGCATCCCTCTTTTTATTTTATCTACCACTCCTCCAATAAGTAAGAAATTTAACGTCAATTACTCACTATAAAATCATCATTGCTCAGACAAACCATAATTTTTATAGCCTTCAATTATGTTTGGTTACAGAGCCATCAAATAGAAAATCAGACCCCTCTTGCTACACCCACATGTTACATCCTCTCTTTCAGGATTTGTTAATAGTTCTCTCTTACATTTAATTCTATATGTATAACCAATAGAAAGCCAAGGTTTTCATCTATCAAATGACGTATTATATTATGTTATTTTCTGAATGAAGAATTGTCAATTTCTCTGTTAGTACAAGCTTTGTAGCCACAGGAAAGATAAAGACTAGCTTGGATGAATTTATAACAGCTCTTGTCGCCTAGTTAGATAGCCAGAAAAATAATGATAGTTAGAAGAAATTGTCTCTTTTACCATGTTATTATTCTATGTTCTTTTGTGCATTATTTAATTAAATAAAATTTATTCATGCATTACTACAAAAAAAACTAGGGTTAAGTGTCATTGACAGTAAAAAAAAAAGACATGGGTAAGTACTTTATTTCTTGTTTTTCATGTTTATTCTTTATTTATAGTTATAAAAGTAACTAAAATGTAAAAAAGGGGATCTCTTTAGGTTATTTAAGGTTACATTAAGTAAAATAATACTAATATAATAAAAATGTTTCTCGAAGCATGCACGCGAGCAGGTCGTGATTAATGTAATTCGATAGCATAACGTGAACTTCACATTCCCCAAATGATTTACAACTCATAATGGTTTGAATAGTAGTTAAACATGGTTCAAAGGGCAATAAAACAATAAAATGCAAGTATAAATAGATGTACTGTTACAAGTTTAAAGCTACTTAGGATAAACGAATATAGTTTCGTGTTACAATATGAAGTCATTCTAGTAAGAAGAAAAGGGTAATTTAGATTTATTTAGATTTTTTTTTTTTTTGGTGGTTACAAGGTCAGTCAAATTGACCAACCTTGTATAGAGTTAAGGTAGAGAAAATAACAGATAAAATATAAAGTTTTACTGCAAAATTTACCAAGATGTTAGAATTCCAAATTTTACTAAAGCCAAAGACATATAGTTGAAATGTTCTTTTATAAGTCTTTTTAAGATGATACAGTTCATTATAGGTACATACCACAAAACTTTAAGTCAATACAATTTGTGTTATAAGGACTAGTTTTGCCTTTGTAATAAAAAATACTTCTCTTTAGCATGACTAAAGTTTGAAAAACTAAGTTTATCCAGGAAGTTTATTACAAAAATATGTTGCTAATCTTAGTTTTCTTTCAATTACATGCTCAATGCCAAATAATAAATTAAGTGATCAGAGATGATATACCAAGTTCTCGCTATCAACTTCCAGAACAGCAACAAAACACATTGTTACTCATACATCATTAGTAGTTACAAACAAGGGATTATATTCGTGCATCAGTTATAGCTGTCTTATCTAATCCAACTAATTCATAAATAAGATCTTTAAATCACTACTAGTGTTGTTTGTAGACAACAGATACTGAACTATTTCTTGAAAATAATTAAACATAACAATGTTATTCAATAATATAAATGCTATCTAACAGTAATTCACTATTTTTAGATATCCAAATTTCAACTTCTTTCCAGTACCAATAAATAAAGTGATGAATATGGAAATACAAAAATTAAATTATAAAATGTTACTGTAGCTAACATGTTTAGTTCCATCGAAAAATAATTAATAACATTTCTTCTCTGATACATGGCCAACCATTTTAAAACAAGTATACTGTGGATTTTGAAACAGCTCAGACATTATGTGTTGAATTAGAGTTAATATTAACAAGTGTAAAGAGGGAGAACAATAGAGGTCTCATTTACTATTCATTTAATAACTTTGTAATGTTAAAGTTTGAACAAAAGAGTTGCTTATCCGTAAAGAAGTGAATTTGTCACTATGGATAATAATAGTTAATTTCTCTCTAAAAATAATTTTCAGGTGATTAAAAGTAAACTCCTCTGTAGGATACTGCAATGAAATGACTAAATGAAATGTGGTAGATTGTAGAACCATACCGAAGTTAAGTGTGAATGGTGTGTCTTCACAGAGCACTGCCTGGTAGAGGGCACTAGTTTGCATTTTTGAAGGCAAGGATAAATTATAATTTTTTGAGGAGAAAAAATCTATAGCTCACAAAGGGTGCCATGAACAATCAGTACAGCCCTGGTAGATTGAATATGTTTGGCTAATAGTTTTTATGAAATCAAAATCTAATTTTTTTTAATACAGGAATCTAGAAACAAGAATAACAAAGACCTCAAGTCCTCAAAGAAATTTTTTGAAAAGCTTCAAGACCAAGTTTCCAGTCATATTCAAAGCAAGGTAGAAAAGAAGAAGAAAAAATATAAATTAAAGAGTGCAAATGCAGTTAAACTTAAGTTGTGATTGTGGACCAACAAAGCTTTAACAAAACATTATTAATGTACAGTTTTTGTTCTCTTCTTAAATAAAAAAAAAAGATATGATTTTTTCAATACATGTTTCGACTCGTACATTTTAACCTATCTATGCTTTCATTTTGAATACTATTCTAAAACTAAAAACTTATTGTGTATCATAATTGAATTATTTCTGTAATCATTTTGGAGATTGAAAGAGCACTCCAGTGTAACTAACTTAATCTATGAGCTCATTGCTTACAATTTGAATTACTAAGCTTAACTCTCTCTCTCTCTCTCTCCCTTCATTTAATACAAGTTAAATAACCACTCGCAAAAAATCTTAAATTCTGCCTCACGACTTTTTTTTTAATATATTTATATACAACTGGTTTCTTTTTACTGTCTCTGCAGCGAGACATACTATTCTTCTATTCTTTTTCTTCCAAAAACTTTTCAATTGACTGCCATTCCTTTATTTCTTAGCAGATTAAATTGAAACTTGGTAGTGTTATATGTTGGTCCAATAAACCTAGACATTTTTTTTTTCATTTTTTTAATTTGGGCCTTTTTAAGGATTTTATGGAGTGAAAGTTCAAACAACCCAAAAATGTATATTTTAGGCTCCTATGTGGTCATATTCACAGCAATCAAGATGAAAATTGCAACAAAAATAAACTTTATCCCCATTTTGAGATTTTTAAGGGGGAGGGGCAGAGCTCACAAAGAATCTTAATTTTGGAATTGTTGGTTAATTACTCAGCTGTATTTTGACCAACATACATGGAATTTGGTACAAAGATACTTTTCTACAGGTATCACACATTAACAAATAAAAATGGTAGACTTGCCCATTTTTGTAATTATACAGGGTCAAGATGCCACAAAAAAACATAATTTTAGGATTTTTTGACAATTACTCTGCCATATTTTGGCCAAATTGCATGGAATTTGGTAAAGATACTCTTTTACAAGTACCAAACAGAGATGTAGACATTTTAATAAAAATGTTAGAAAAAAACGACCTTTATATTCCAGCTAATTATAAAACAACTTTTTATTTTAGCCAATTCAAAGCAATTTCAAATTATTCTCTTTAATTCTCCTATTATTGTTCCCTTTTTGAATTGCTCTGGGTGGTGTGATTTGAAATGAAGAAATATAGGTTTCTTATA